CTAGAACTAAGGAGAAACTTCCTGACAGTCAGAACAATTAACCAGTGGAACAACCTGCCTCCAGAAGCGGTGAATGCTCCAACACTGGAAGTTTTTAAGAAGAGACTGGACAGCCATTTGTCTGAAATGGTATAGGGTTTCCTGCCTGAGCAGGGGGTTGGACTAGATGACCTCCAAGGTCCCTTCCAACTTTATTATTGGAATTCTGGGAGTTGAAGTCCACGAGTCATAAAAGGGCCGAGGTTGCCTACCCCTGACCTATGGGGAAGCCAGAGTCACTTAACCGTATTACTTAACAACTGCAACAACAACAACAACAATAATAATAGAGTTGGAAGGGACCTTGGAGGTCTTATAGTCCAACCCCCTGCTCAGGCAGGAAACCCTATTGTCATGGTTCCGATAGATGCAACCCATCAAAAGAACTTCAAGGCAAGAATTCTTCCTCAAAGAACATTTTATTCTGGAAACAACGTATCGGCACTACATAGTTGAACCCAAAACTACTTTCCCTTCCCCTGGATACAAAGTAACAAAATTGCAATTCCCACCCCTAGTAAGCAGTCATAAATCACGTTCTCCAATTAGCCTGAAATGCCGGCTTTCTCCCCAGCTCCTCAGCCCGCCAAAACATTATCAATTCCTCCTTGGGTTCCCACAAAGCAGCATCTATTATTATGGTTAGCTAAGCTCAAGCATTCATCCCAACCCCGCCTTCTGCACCTAATTTCTAAATAGAAGAAAAAAGCATGTTAAAAGCAAAGCGGAAATGGCTGCAATTTTCATCAGTTGTCAGAGCGGGAAACATCCAGTGTTTACAGCGTTGACACCTGTACCAGGGGTAGGCAACCTTGGCTCTTTTATGACTCGTGGACTTCAACTCCCAGAATTCCTAAGCCAGCCAGGCTGAGGGGAAAGGGAGAGGTTTCCAAGCTGAGCCGTGCTGGCTCAGGAATTCTGGGAGTTGAAGTCCACGAGTCATAAAAGTGCCAAGGTTGCCTACCCCTGGCCTAGGCTGAGATCCTCCAGATCAGGGGTAGGCAACCTTGGCTCTTTTATGACTCGTGGACTTCAACTCCCAGAATTCCTAAGCCAGCATGGGGAACTATGGCCCCTTCATGACTTGTGGACTTCAATTCCCAGAATTCCTGAGCCAGCATGGCTCAGCTTGAAAACCTCTCCCTTTCCCCTCAACATGGCTGGCTCAGGAATTCTGGGAGTTGAAGTCCACGAGTCATAAAAGAGCCAAGGTTGCCTACTCCTGACCTATCCCTTTTCAGACAAGTGGCTGTCCAGTCTCTTCTTAAAAACCTCCAGTGTTGGAGCATTCACAACTTCTGGAGGCAGGTTGTTCCACTGATTGTTTTAACTGTCAGGAAATTTCTCCTGAGTTCCAGGTTGCTTCTCTCCATGATTAATTGTTCTGTCAGGAAATAAGTGATTCACTTATATCAACTGTGGCAAGGAAAGCCACAAAATGGGGCAAAACTCCCTTCACAGCTGTCTTGCTTAGCAACAGAAAGTTTGGGCTCAACTGTGGTCGTAAGTCAAAGACTATTTATTCACAATTTCTGCTGGCAGCTCCCGACTTGCCTCTACCAGCAATAGTAAGTAGACGGAGCCAGGCGAGTTGTAGCATAAACCTCCCTGGTGAGGGTTTAAAAAAGGTTAGTAAGCAGATGAAGAATGAGAAATTGCATTTCTGGAGACCTTTTCTGTCTTGCAGATGCAAAACGTGCGGCGAATACATTTACAAGGGCAAAAAATTTAACGCCCGGAAAGAGACGGTCCAGAATGAATGTTATTTGGGACTTCCCATCTTCCGGTTTTACATCAAATGCACCCGCTGCCTGGCAGAAATCACGTTCAAGGTAAAGCCTCTTTAGGCCTCTCTTCTCTTCCAACATAGAACATGGAATAATAGAGTTGGAAGGGACCTTGGAGGTCATCTAATCCAGGGCGTTTCAACCTTTTCACCCATTGTGCCACTTTTAGGATATGGCAATATCCGACTACCACCAGTCGCCTAGCAAGGTGTCAAAAACTCGATGACCCCCCCCCCAAAAAGGAAAAAAGCGATGAAGTACAGATAGTCCTCGACTTACAACAGTTCGCTTAGTGACTGTTCGAAGTTACAATGGCACTGAAAAAAGTGCCCCCCAAGCCACAGCCGAGCAAGACACCTGCCTGCCCACCCGGCCGCGCTCTTCCTCCTGTCCGAGGTTTTCATTGTTGTGAGCATTTCTGTTGAAGATTGGCAGCGGGGGTGGGGTGGGGGGGTGTTTGGTTTTTATTCCCCCCGTCTGCTGGGTGGTTGCAGCAGGTTTTGGTCACTTCACATGACCCTGGGACACTGTGACCGTCATAAATATGAACCGGTTGCCAAGCATCTGAATGTAAATCACAAGACCCTGGAGATGCTGCAACATTCCAGCTGATTGGCGCTTCTTCTGGGCTCAGCAGAAGCGCCAGGATCAGCGCCGACCTCCAGTTGGAGCCTGGCGCTGATCCTGGCGCTTCCACTGAGCCCTGACAGCCCCGAAGAAGTGCCGATCAGCTGGAAAGCGGCACTGATCCTGGTGCTTCCGCTGAGCCCTGCAGCTCCAGCCGTCTCTTGCTCAGGCTTGTGCGGTGCTGCCACCGGCTCAGCTCCTTCCCCTCCCCCGCTACCACTTTCCTAGGATGGTCGCGTACCACCTGCCAGGTGCCAATGTACCACAGGTGGTACCCGTACCACTGGTTGAAAAGCCCTGTTCTAGTCCAACCCCTTGCTCGAGCAGAAGACCCTTTCCTAGGGGTAGGCAATCTTGGCTCTTTTATGACTCGTGCACTTCAACTTTCTAGTTTTTGGCAAAGCTGCACCCCTCACAGACCATTGTTTCGCTGAGCAACTGTGGCACTCATTTAAAAATTGCATTGATTGGTTTAACGAGTGCTGCAAAAAAATAATAATCATAAGATATCGTGACTGAGTCCCGTTAACGATTTTCATGCGTTATGACCGTATTGGGCAGGTTCCACTACAGTGGTAGCTTGAGGACGACTTATAAAATGCAGGTTGGAGAGAAGCCTGGTGGGGGCACCCAA